CTAGACTGATCCAGATCTTCTTCGAGTTTTGTTCGTGCTTCTTGCATTCTTTGATTAAGCTTCTGGATTTGAACATCCTTGTTTCTGCATCTTTGCATCCAATTTCTAGCCACTTCCTGTTCTACCTCAAGTCTGGTGTTGAAATTTTTTCTTTCCAGCTCCCATTTTTCTTTTTCAACATTGTATTCTTCCATCTTTTGGCCTCTGACTTCAAGTTCAGCAATCAACTGGTTCATTTCAGATTCAAATCCCTTGAACATGATATTTTCTCACCTTCAAATTTATTAAAGATTCTTCATTTCTTCTAAATCTTTGGCTCGATCTCTTTCTCTTTGCATTTCATTCATGATCTCGCGGTGTTCAGCCTTGTGTTTTATAATTCGCTCTCTTCTATCGACCTCAAAATCTTCCATTTTTTGCTTTCCCTTCTCAAGGCTTTTGAGTAGACGGCTATTCTTTCCTTTCAGATCTTCAACTCGACTTTTCTCGATGTTCAACTCTCTAGTCATCTGTACCGTTGATTGGCTTGGTCTTGATGCTTTTCGGGATTTGTATAACTCCTGGTAATTTTTCTGTAATGCTCTGAATTCATCATCACCTTTTCCTTTATCTTTTCTCAACATTGCACATTGTGATGAATGGAAGTCAATGTCAACCCCCAACATAGCTTTATCTTGTCTCATTTGCTCTAATTCTTTCGACCAGCCTTTTCTTTCTGCTTCAAACTCAGCTCTCAAGATTTCAATCTCTGACGGAACCACCTTAATGCGATCTTCCATAGAGATATCCTCATTTTGATCTGGTAGAGGAATATTTTCGTTTTTCCTGACAGATCTCCATTCTTCATAATCAGGAGTTAACATTTCTTTTGCTGCTTTAGCTCGGATACAAAAAGTTGTTTTCCAAGCTGTAACGGCTTCCATGATACTTCTTTTATAATTTTTGCTATGGAATGCGAACTCAGATGACTGTAATCCAGCAGTGACAGGTATAAATTGGCGACCTTCATACTGTCTTATAACCAGAAGTGGTGCATATCCAATTCCTCCCCATAATCCGAGCAGCATTATCCAGTTGTAATCTCCACATTTGTAAAAGAATTCCCTTTGTATTTGCCACGGGGCTCGCCAAACAATATCATTGCTTTGCAGATTTCGAAAGGCATTAATCCACATATCTTTCTTAATTTCTTTCGGCCATTCCTGCTCCAGAAATTCTTTTAATGGTGAGTAATCCGTATTAAAGCGTCGGTATGAAACCTTTTCTGTCTTCCAGAAATGACTACGGATCCAAACATATAACAACTGGGTACACCCTGAAAATCGTCCACCTCCTATCTTTCTACAAGCATTTAACGATCTGAAGGTCTCTGCTAGGATTGCAGAGGCAGGATTAATCTTTTTCGGTAACTGTTCAAACAAATCTACCACTGCAGCTTCAACATATCCCAATACTTTTGGGAAGATGACCATACCATACATACCCAGAGCAAATAAATCGAATCGTACTTTAATATCTGGATGACTCTGAATAAGTTCTTTAATGTTGGTCCAAGCAATGCCTTCGCTTTCTCCTTTTTGTTTTGTACGGGATACTACCCATTCTTCTCGTACCCGGCAATCTTTGCTAATTTAACTCGAAGGGTTGAGTTTTAATTGACTTTGAATAGATTCGATTCTCCAAAGCCCCTTCGATATGTAACAAAGTTGTATACTCTTCAATAGTATGGACCAAGTCTTCTTTATTGAGAGTGAAGCAATTGTACCCTGGATTCCAGAATTGAATTAGGGCTCTGAGTAATTCATCATCAACTTCAACATAGAGCAAATATGGGATGTCTCCGTAAGTCTGATAAAACTGCAATTTTTTGTTTGAATCCCAACTTTCCCAAATGCTTCGCAAATCTTGCATATAATTTCTTTTTAGTGAAACTGGAGCATAACTGGCCAAGTCAGATACATAATCATCCTGCAGACTGTCTCCTTCTTGTCTTTGTAAGTCCTCAGCCCACTGTCTTACTTCTGAGTTTAGAATTATTTGATTTGAACACTTTTTATCCATAGATGAAGGCTTTCCAATGAGACAATTAACACAAGGATCAATGTCTTTTATCCTGTATGATGCTATGCAAACAGAAAAATAAAGAACACAAAAATAAAATAAATTAGTTTACATAATAAAGAAATTCAATAATAACATTTACATAAATATTTTTTTATTTAAACATGCTTTTCTAAATTTAAATAATTTAAATATACATGTAATTTAATCAGTAAAATAAATAAACTAGAAAGTTAGAATTCATTTCTCCTGTGTGTACACCTATTTTAGACAAAATTTCGGCATGACTTCGGATCGGAAGAGTTTCTAAGGTTTTTTATATGCAAGGTTTCAGATCTAAGAATAAAGGTACCCGAATTGTCCTTGTTAGTGCCCCCTTGGGTTGCTAACCCTCAACCCTAGTCCATCACAGACTAAAATGGATCGAGTTCAATTCGAGGGAATACATTTCTCTATGCCTGACACGGAGAATAAATTCTCACGAAGACATAAAGCATATGAACCCCGAAAGTTTTGCTAGGTCTGACACGGAGAATAAATTCTCACGAAGACGTCGCTTTCACTCCACTTAAAAGGGACAACTCAATTTTAGAGCTTTATATAATGCAATGCAAGTGTTGTGTGTGAGGAGAAATGTTCATACCTCTGACAGAAAAAAATAATAAAATAAAATACTTACAAATAAAATGAAATATATATATAAACATTATAAAAATAATATGTATATAATAAAAAAAATTATAGATTAAATATATGAAATTTTAATTTATAATTAATAGAGACAATTTATAATTGATTTTTAAAAGTTTGACTGGTCCCCAGCAGAGTCGCCAAGCTGTCGTAACCGGTTTTCGTCCGGGCACGAAATATTTACTTGACGGGAAAAGTGATGTGAATAAATGTTTTTGAAAATAATTTGAGAGTCGCCATCGGCCTTTTGGGTCAGGTAGGTCGAATACCTAAAAGTTATTTTTTAAAAGAGTTTTAAGAAAACACTAATAAAAAATGAACTGATCTGCGTTTATAACCAAAAATTTGTTCTTTTTAATAATAAAAAGGGATTCGTGGTCGATTACGTTTAGGGAAGGATTAACACCCCTACAACGCCCAAAATTGGTACTTTTTAATTATAAATTGTCTCTATTATTAAAATTTAAAAATTCAAAAATATATTTAATTTATAATCCTATTATTTCAAAATTATATAAAAAAAATATTTATTTATTTAAAAATATCAGAAAAGAACTTCTAGGTGCCTTAAGACAGCTCTTTTCTTTGATATTGATTAATTTACATAAAATTAAATAATAATTTTTTTTATAATATTTAATTTTAAAATACCAGAATAGGACATCCAGTTGTATTAAGACTGTCCTTTCTTCGATATTGAAAAATAAATATTAAAATAATTTATTTGAAATAAATATTTATTTATTATATAATATTTATTACTATAAAAATATTTAATAAATAAATAAGTAAAATTAAAACAATAAAATACAACTAGAACGATATATTTAAAATAAATGACTAAATTATAGTAAAAATAAAATTAAAAACCTAATTCATAATTAATCAAAATATTAGGGATTAACATGCTATTTCTTATTTATTTATTTAGTGACTAAAATAAAATTATCTAAAATTTGGATATTATAATAAAATAAATTAAAAATATAAACTAGGGATTAAAATATTATTTATTAAAATTAAGGGATTAATTCTGTTATTTATCCTAAATATATTATTTTAATAAAAATGAGTAAAATAAATAAAATTAAAATCTCGAGATCAAATTAAAAGTATTATAAATTCAATTCAGTGACTAAAATGTAAAGTTTACAAGTTAGAAGGACTACGGACGGGGTTTAACTATTGTCTAATTACGCGCATAGTCCTTCCCGAAACGACGTCGTTCGGGAAGGCCTATAAAAGGTCCAAAACGGCTGGCCCTTCGGGCCAGCCTTCATTTCATCTTTTTTCTTTCTCTCTCAAGCAGAGAGAGCTCTGGCTTCTCTCTAGCTTCCCTCATCGGAGGGAAGCCGGTCATCGGACGGCAACCGTCTGTCGCCGTGACCGTCACCGCCGGCCACCGTATCTGGTGGCCAGAAATTTTTATTTTTCAACCATTAAATAGATCGGACCGTCCTAAGGACGGTCCCGATGTTCTTTTCTTCTAAATGGCTCCTAATCGGAGCAAATCTACAAAAGTACCTTCGGTTGTTCGAAGGTTTTGGTGAGATCCGGTGGTCGGGGCTTCCTCGGTAAGCTTCTCTTCTTCCTTTTTCTTTCTTTTCTGGTTCTTTGCTGCTGAGATCGTTGGTAATATTTTTTTTTCTGTATATATTTTTTTCTTTTCTCTGTGTTTGTGTTTCCGTCCTCTCTGTTTTTTTTTTAGGTTCGTGTGGTGGCTTTTATAGCCACCACCGGTGTGGCCGTCGGACTGGTCCGAAGAGGGGGTTTCGGTGAGTCACCGGACTACCAGTGGTGACTCACCCCTTAGCCATGGCGTGTGGAGGGCAGCTGGGTCTTCTGGAGTCTTCATTTGGGACGTGGCAGTGGCGGAGGCGGCGAGAGCAGCAGCGGCGGCCGTGTGGCCCTAGGGTATCATACCCTAGGGTTTCCATCTGGAGGCTCTTGGACCGTTGGATTGTACCAGATCCAACGGTCAGTCTGAGGCGGCTGGCTAGAGGCGGCTGAGCATGGGATTAGGGTTAGGAAACCCTAACTAAAACCCTAAATGTTTTGGGTTTCAGTTTGGTTTGGGTTTTGGGCCGGTTGATTGGGCTAATTAATTATTTTTTAATAATATTTATATATGTATTTAATATATTTAATAATAATAATGATAATAATAATAATAATAATTATAATAATAATAATAATTATAATAATAATAATAATCAATTAATATGGGTAAAAAATTAGTATCTTCAAAGGTAATGGAGGAGGTGTCGAAAACTGGCGAAGATGATGCCATTGATGATGCGATTAGAGGCATATTTATCCACTGATATAGATTTGCTCAAGGACGATGTGGGTGGTGGTACTTGTTGTGTCACGGGATTGGTTCGTAAAGGTGATCTTTTTGTATCGAATTCAGGCAGGCAGGCGATTGTCGTGCTGTTTTGAGCCAAAACGGTGTAGCAGAGGCCTTGACGTCCGATCATCAACCTTCGAAGCAAGACGAGAAAGATAGAGTCGAAGCTTTGGTAAACAAACAATTTCATTTGGTTTATCTTTTGCTCAAATTCAATACAATGAAGATTGAAAGAAAAAAATGACAACTCGATGTTTAATTTTGTAGGGTGGTTATGTGGATTGTCGCCATGGTGTTTGGAGAATTCAAGGTTCTTTAGTTGTTTCAAGTGGGGTACAATTTTTTCCAAATCGAAAAGTTCTCTCCCTTTACATGTTTTCTTTTTTTGAGGGATTTATATAACCATCCCGTGATTTTAAAAAAGCATAAATCAAAACCTAATCTTCTTGCTTTCTGACATTCCTTCATTGCTTGTGCATGGTGGTTGGTCAGATCGTACGGGCAAGTTTGACACTGATGGAGCGGGTCGCAGCAGTTGGGGTAGAGAGCAACAGCAGTCGGCGCATTCAATTCCCGGATATCAAGAAATTTATGTATTTAATTTTTGTATTTTTAATTAATAATATATTGGGATAAAAATAGTGATTTCAATTATGTATTTAGTGAAATATTTGTTTAAATTTTATTATTTTGTAATAATTGAACGATTTTATATTTTTTAGATTTGTATAAATAATTTTATTTCAATATATATTGTCATTAAAAATATGACAATTTTTTGTTTTACCACTATATTAGTGACATTATATATGGTAGCATTATGCATAATCATCATTTATAATTTTATCATCATTTATAATTTTATTAGGTAGTGATAACGGTATATTATGTCACTAAAAATATAAAAATATCTCTTTCGCCACATATAAATTGATTTTAATGTATTATTTATGATAATATAAATTTTCATTAATGAAATCTTATTTAACTTAAAGACGTAGCAAACTCTCATATAATATAAATTATAAATTTATTTTATTCATAAACGTCATTCATAATTTTATTAGGTAATATTTATATGTCACTAAAAATGTGAATATCTATTTTGTCACATATTGATTGATTTTAATGAATTGTCTGTGACGATATAAATTATCAATAACGAAATTTACATAATTTAGTGACATAATTGTCATTGAATATCAATTATATAGTGACATTGTACATAAATGTCATCCATGCTACCATTAGGTGAAGATATACTACGTCACTAACAATGTGACAATTTTATTTTCGTCACATAAAATGATATTATTGTGTTATTGGTGTCGATATGTTTTATTAATGATAAAAATGTACATCATTTGGTGACAAAAGTAATTGTCAAAAAATGCAAATTAAATGGTGATGTTATACATTAGCGTCGCTATATATTTAATAATACATGACGATAACATATACATCGTCACTTTTAACATTTAGTGACACACCTAGGGTGATGATCGTCGTGACATCGACTTTTACGTCACAAAAATACATCTAATGACGTAAATTGATGTTTTAGTGACAATAACTTAGATGCCACTGATAAGAAAATTTGTTGTAGGGATGGATTTGAGTGTGCACGTCCGATTGTGGATCCTCAGCCGGTTCTGGTGGTGGTGCAGTCCTCCGAAGGAAGACAACTCACTGCAAGGTGTCATAGTATCGGGAGGAACAATGTAAGGTGCATTTGGAGTGTCGGTAAATAGCCCAATCATGTCCAAACATCACACATCTAGACCATCCATAGAGAAAGCACAAGTAAATTGTTCAACATTAAAAGATAAAGGAAAAAGTCGAGAAACAAGATTAGTGATGTAAGGGTCAATAATAAGTGGGCAATTGGAGCGCACAACACGCTCAAAAGCGAAAGCAAACCAAAAATCCAAGTTTACGTGTTAAGAATACATCATAAAAAGAATAATTCAACTTTACTTAAGCATGACGTAGTGTCGTTACGTCCTGAGTAATTGTTTGCAAGAAATCAATGGATGTATCGAAGTGCCAAGTCATGGACGTGCCACCCTTTGTTGTCTTAGCATTGTAGATTTGCACCGTCGAAACAATAAGAGCCGAGTAAGCATCATTAGCGTCAAAGTCTTGTGGCATCTCAAGTAAATATGTCAAATAACCTTGATCCATGACATTCAATACGAACCTCATAGAAAAATTAAAATCGGAAATAGACATTCGAAAATACTGCCCAACAAGCGAAAGGAAATAACATCCAGAGAATTAACGCAAACAACACGATGTTGCAAAAATGTAAATGTGGCGAAAACTAACTCATAAAACGTTCCATATTTAATCTCATAATACAAAGTCCAACCAATAGCATCAAAATAACGCATAACAGAATCTCTCAAATGTATAAAGTGCGGGTAGGAATATACTTACAAACTTGAAACTTAAGATGTTGAATATTGCTAAACCGTACGTATTCATCATCATTGAATTACAAAAAGCCTTGCAATTCTTCTTAGACCAGGACAGCGTAGGTGCGACCTTTGCGGTGTCGCTTGGGGTTCTCAACATGATCGGGTTCATCATAGGATGGCATAGCATTTTCTCCAAAACTTGTTGCAAATTAGGGCAAAGCGGGCTGTCTAGTGTTAAGGTGTGACGACGAGGCGAAATCCGGTTGTACCGTCGATGGCCCCCCATCAAAAATTTGGCACCGATATTCTTTGTGTAACCATAAATGGGATGATATATTAGTAATAGAACAACAGAAATTGGTTCAGAATTTACCTCATTGGAGTGTTCCAGCACTGTTGTATGCATTGAGAAGGAAAGAGCAGCATCCGACATTAATTGAGACGATGCAGCCGTTGGTATAGAATAAAACGATGATGATGATGTCGGGTGTGAAGTATGGTGCTTCCGTGAGTAAGAAGTGCTGGCAGAACCTTGTGACGCACGAGAAGAATGACTGTGATGGACGAACAGTGACGATGGCAAAGCAGGGACACAGACAGGAAACTGCTCGTGTTCATCCGGAGGAGGCGTGGGTGCTTGCTATCGACGTCCACCGTGACGAGGTGAAGGCGAAGACATGGAGTCGGAGTCGCTGGGCAGTTAGACGAACGTTAGAGTGACAAACCGGCGACAACCACTGAGATTAATCGATGGTAAAGAATTCTTGACGTTTGCTTGATTCCTTGTCTGGACCATAATGATATGTAGAGAAAGACGGTGATGGAGAGCAACTTAAGAATGAGTGAACAGTGACTTAAAATGGGAGAATGGCGCGATCGTGAGATGCGACGGTTGTTAGCAAAGAAGAAGAAAGTCACGGCTGAAAAGAGTTTCCTTGTTTGTTTAAAAATCATGCGCGGGTAAACGGTTTTTAATAAGAAGGAATTTGAATAGAGGTGGGGTGTTTAAAAGAATAATAAAAAATTGAGAGATATAAGGGTAGTTTTTAACGCATGAGACCCATAGAATTTATTTAAAACTTAAAAAATAAGGTTGATAAGGTGCATAGGCCTCTAAATCAATGTTTTGAAAAACCGGACCGGATCGGACCGGCTGGTTCGAATCGCTTCCTAGTCTCGTTCAATCTACACTAGTTGAATCGCTATTAGTGAACCGATCGGAACCGTTGAACCGTTCAAACCGGACTGCTGAAAACCAGAAAAAACCGTCAATTTGTTTTTTTTTAAATTAAACCAAACGAAGACGTTTGTTAAACGAGCCAAGTCGAACTCGAGTATTGCTGAGCTCGACTCGAACTTGAAAACTTTAAAAGTAAGCTCAACTCGACTCAAACTCACGAGCTAAAAATTATCAAGTTCAACTCGAACTCGAAATATAATATTGAAACTTGAACTCGAAAAGGCTTGAACTCAAAAAAAAATTAGAAACTCGATTGAAGGCTAAAATTCGAGCTTGATTGAAGTGAAAGAATAATTCACTCAATGCTCACCAAAAGGCTCCATGATTTTGAATGACAAATTACCTCTATTATTTATAGAAGTTAGTTGGGATGTTCTTTTATGTTTCTTAGTCATCTGGATTGTTTTGTTCTCATATTTTTACTCTTTAGACTTTTGGGATGCTCTTTTATGTTTCTTAGCCATGTGAGATTGTTTTTAAAAAAAAATTAAACCAAACAATATCATTTTGTTATGATTTTTTAGCCCCAAATTTATTTTTTAATTATAGTTATATAATTATATTTATTATTTAATATGTTTTACCTTAAATATTATGTTGTAGTTAATTTGAATCATTTTGTTTCACTTGATTTTATGGTTTTTAACTTATATATGTTATGACTTGCTTTGAATATGACTTGTGATATAAAAAATTATTTTTTATTAAATATTTTTGGTATTTTTATTTAATTTTTTAAATATGACGTCGTCCGGTTCTTCCGACTGGTCGGACCGGTTCGACCGGTTGAACCAGTGAACCGGTAGCATGGCCGGTTCGCTAACCGGTCCGGTTCTGAAAACCATGCTCTAAATGAACTGAACGTTCAGCGAATCGTTCATGAACCGTGCGGCGGGAAGTTTGTTTATGTGCATTTATTTATTAAATGAACGAACATGAACAAAATTTTGTGTTCGTTTAATTAAATGAACGAACATGAACATAGGTCTCGTTCGTTCATTTACGTTCGTGAATGTTCGGTTATGTTCGTTCGGTTATGTTCGTTTATGTTTGTTCGGTTATGTTCGTTTATGTTCATTCATTTATGTTTAACCCAATCTTCTTAAATCAATTTTGGTGACCAATTTGTAAGTATCTTAAAAATATTAATTAATCTGATATTCTGATGACCAACTCCATAATTAACCTAATTTTATTTGGAGATTAAATCCAATATGTTAGCATGTGAGGCACCTCGCACCTATATTCATTTTCCCCCTTTTTTTCCCAAACCCTA